TGGTAGTAGTGGCAGTAGTGGCAGTAGTAGTAGTAGTAGTAGTAGTAGTAGTGAGTAGCAGTAGCAGCAGTAGCAGCAGGAGAAGTAGCAGCAGTAGCAGTAGTGGTGGTAGCAATTAGCAGTAGTAGCAGTAGCAGTAGCAGTGACAGCAGTATCAGCAGAAGAAAAGCTATAGTAGCAGGACATGTAACAGGGGCACTCTCTGGACCACGAAACCTGCTTACCCTCGACACCGCCACATAAGGCAGCTGTTGCCTGCTCGCACGACATCCTCGGCGCCCCCCTTCTTGACTTGCTGCGCCAAGTCTGAAATCCAAGTCCTGCCCGATTCTGAATATATATATATATTTATTTATTTGTTTATTTATTTCTATTTATTTATATATTTATTAGTTAATTAATTAATTAGTCAATTAATTAACAAACTACCTAACTAATCAATTAAGGCAAGTACATCACAAGTATGTCTTGATAATGCCACCACCGGGTCCCGAACTGTCCTGGGCGGGTCAGAGTTCCGCGCCTTCAAGAAACGATCCTCGGTGTATGGATCATGGTGGCAGGGCGTTGAAGGCTCGGACTCCGACGTGCATGCCCACGAACGGTTGAGCTTCAAAACTCTCTACAACTTGATCCCGGCACTGGCTGCCGATGCTCCACAGGGGCACAGTGCACAGGGATCAAGCGCCGAACATCCTGCCGGCAGCATGGCACAGGCTCGACACACTTTGTTCACAGCTCTAAAACTTCCAGTTGGATGCGCACTCCAATCCGCCTGGCGGCGTTTGTAGCTTTTCTGGTCCGGACGAAGATGCCTCGTGCCGCTGAAAGACTTGAACACGGTTAGTTCTCGGTTACTCTGTGATATGCACGTTCTGCATTCGTGTGATCATTTGATTTGCTGATACACGATATCGTTTGGCATCTATGAAACTTCGAAGCCTTTGTGCATGCATGCATCCCTGTTTGCACACACACACACACACCCACACACACCCACACACACCCACACCTCACCCACCCACCCACCCACCAACCCATCCACCCACCCACCCACCCACGCACACCACCCACAAACGCACACACACACACATTCAAACACATACAAACACACAAACACACACAGACACAGACACACACACACACACACAGAGAGAGACACACAGATGCGCAAGAACACACACACACACGTACAAATATACAGGTGCGTGTATTTCCGTATGTGTATGCATGATCGTACACTTGCAGGTGCAAGTTCTGGGGTTTTGTATGCTTCACCCTTACCGCTGTACCCTCAACCCGACATGTCGTTGAAAACCCGCACTCTGCAGGCACACCTAACGCATGAGTTACGGGTATACAGTATACATCGTTGTCTACCCTGATCTATCGGACAGGAAAGGACTACTTCTTGTGCTCAGCCTAAACCCTTAACCCTGACTCGGCCGAGGTGGGGGTTTCCCAAAACAGGGGACCCCAATATAGTACCCTAAAAAGTAGGATCCTTATTGTAAGGACCCCAAAATTTTCGGAAACTCGCAGGTCGTTTGAGGCCCGGGATCCTGTGAAGTTCCTGAGCATCCGGCAGGGCAGAGCGCACTCGCAGGCAGGAGCGGGCTCCCCCGTCCTTCCGATCCACCCAAAAAACTCAAAAGACTGAAGGCAGCCCGGTGGGACAGAATCATTCTCCCCCATGCCTGGCGCAGCATCGCGAAGGCATCTGACACCTTTCCACAGTAGAGGTGCTGGAAGAATTCCAGCAGCACCCCCTGCCACGGCAGTACCGGCTTGCGCGCATCTTCATGAGGCTCCGCTGGTTTTTTCGCCCCGTGGCCTGGCGCCGTTTTGCCTCCGGGGGCTTCAGCACGCAAGCGAGGAAGGGTACGAAGTCGCCCCGGATGTGGGGCGAGTAGTACAAGAGCCTGGGATTTTTTATTGGAATCCCTGCAACTTTCGACAGAGCTCTTCAGGAAAGTGGCTCCGAAGATGCTCCAAAGAAGGCCTCCCACGAAGGAACCGTGGGAGACCCAAGTGCCTCGACAGAGCCCACATGACCACCATTCCGGTCCAAGCCAGGGCCCTGCGAAGCCGCGCCTGCTTCACCCATTGCTTCATGGGCCGCTTCGTGGCGGCCAGGCCCAGTTCCTTGGCGGAATCTCGGGGCGAGGGAGCTCGATTGGAAGGCTCAAGGCGCGCCCCTTCTCTGGGAGGCCCTAAAACCCTTTAAAACCCTAAACCCTAAAATCCTAAAACCCTCAACCCTTGAATGGGCTCACGAAGCAGCGGCAAAGGACGAGGCTTCCCGAAGCTTGAGGCAGACTGCGGACATATGCCCATAGCATTAATCCTAAACCCCTTGAAAACCCTGAACAGATAGGAGCTACAATAAGGTCCCTTTTAAGAGAGCCACAAGTAGGGTTAAGAAGGGTCCCCTTAAAGGGTCTCCCTAATACTACCTGGGAGCAGAAAGGCTCTCTGACACAGAGTAAGATCAAGAGTCATCCGCTTTTTGCTCCTCCAAGTCCCGTGGCATCGGCTTCTGAAGGAGGCTCTGGAACCTTCTGACATTGAGGGTTTAAGGTGTACGGTATTTGGGATTATGATTAGGGTTTAGGGTGTAGGGTTTAGGATGGTCTTTGGAGGAGTGATTGTTTCGATTCACCGGTGGAAGAAGAATTGCTAGTGATGTGAGGCTCTCTTGAATTCCAAACTTTCTCCTAGTCAGGCGACGAGATGTCCTCGCTATCGCTACAGCTATTGCTTTCAGTGTTAGCTGCCAGCATCTCGCGGTCCTCAGTCGGAGTATCTGCGCAAGCATCAGCACTCCATACCCAACCTTCCAGCCCCATCCCCGGAAAGGGATGACCACCCCAAAGCTCGCAACTTCCACGAAACCTTCAGCAAGAAAGTCCCTCCCACGCCTGATGCGCAGCTCCTCATCGTCCGGATCTCCCAACTCTCTCGGGTCCATGAAACGGATCCTGCACAAAATCTTAAATCCAAGAATTCTGAAGTGTCAACTTGCTCTCAGAACAGGTGTTGCTGGTGTTTGTTTTGCTTTTCTTGTTGCTGCTGGCGGTGGTGCTGGTGCTGGTACAGGTCCTGTGGCTGTTGGTGTTGTTGGTGCGGTTGTTGCTGTTGCCGCTGCTGTTGTTGTTGTCGTTGCAGCTGCTGCTGCTGTTGCTGCTGCTGCTGCTGCTGCTGCTGCTGCTGTTGCTGTGATGTGTTGTTGCTTGTTGCTGTTGCTGTTGTTGTTGTTGCTGCTGCTGCTGCTGCAGCTGCTGCTGTTGCTGCTGTTGATGTGGTGGTGATGGTGGTGATGGAGGCTGTGACGGCCGTGGTGGTGGTGTTGGAGCTGCCGGTGCCCTAGAGTGGCTGCTGGTGCGTCGTTGTCGTTCTGCTTGATATTGTTTTCATGTTATCGTTGATGTCTTGCGGTTGCTTGTTTTGCGGCTGTGGGCTTGCCCTCGTTGTGCGTCGGGCGTTGCTACTGTTGTTCTTTGCCCAGTTCCGTTGTTGAACAAGGTCGGCGAGACATTACTCGCATTGCGCTTCCCATTCTTCGCACTTCGATCGAACAGCAAAAACCTTGTCGGCGCTCCAATGACTCTCTTTTGTTGGTGGTGTGGCTGTGGCAACAGCTACGACTAATACGGCTGTTGCTGCAGTTGTTTTGGTGGTGGTAGTAGTATTTTCCGTCGTCGTGGTTTATGCTAGACCCGCTACCAGATATAGTCTCATGCAAGTCCATAAGTTCTTCTACACCTTCGTCTTCGTGTCTTTTCCTTCATGCACGACCTGCTCGACCTCGGATGCAAGGCTCCTCCGCGGGTCCAGGTGCTGCAGCACACGACGTCGTAGGAATTCCAGGAAGGTCCCGGTCCCATCCTCTCCACAGAACCTTTGCACAAATTTCAGCAGCTTTCCGTTGTGTTGCGAAAAGCGTGAAGCCCAGGCCTGCGCGTCTGGCCGTCATCCTGTCCATGACTGCAAGCAGAAAAAAGGGGGAGGAACCGACATTTCTCGCTGACTTGCCTCCGGCTCCTCTTCGTCACAGGAATCCTAGGGCTGAGGGGAAATGTAACCGGGAGCCCCCTTGAACTGCGGCCTATATGCTCGAAAGCCAAGCAACCAGCTCCATCCGCTGCAAGGTTCGGTGAGATAATGGTGCCGGCTCAACCCCAGGCTCCTTGAGCTACCGAACTGCAAACAAAATAAGACCACAAAAGCTCTCAAATGCGCAAGCCTCGTGCAACTCCACTTCTGTCTCCAACACGGGGCCTTCCAAGATGAGCTGCACCCGGGGATCACCTCAAACACGATTGGGGTTCCTTCTTGGTGAACCTGCCTTCTTACTACGGCCCATCCTCCAAGTCTTCAAGACAGGTAGCTGGCATGTCTCAAAAGCCAGTCATCGAAAAGCTCGACATTTTCCTCCAGGCGCCCCTGTTTTCGCCGTGTGACGATAGCCTCGAGTGCAAGGACATTGCGGCAGTTTACACCTTTTCAACTGACATGGCCACCAATTTCATGATCGAGCCAAGGCACATCATGTTCGGAAGGATGTACCCTTAAACCCTGCACCTTTCGCTGCCGCACCCACCTGGCGACAAACGCATCACTGTGCCTCAGCGCTCCAACCTTGCCAGATTTCAGCCTGGCATCTTCGTCCAGATCGTCCCACACGAAATAGCAGGTGCTCTTGTCCTGCGGCCAGCCAACAGCCCGGGATCGGAAAACTTTGTGCGAACTACGGCTCATGTCACATCCATGCTCACTGCGACCTGGCTCGCTTTTTGCACGTATCTCAAAGTGCCCGGCGGGAACAACCACGCGTTGCCTCGATCCTGCAGTGACCGTTCAGCCGACCAACAAGATATGGATCGTTTTGCTTGTGTTCGAACTGGTCATAATGTCGCCGTCTGGCCCTGCGGTCCTTCGGGTTGTGGCTTTCGCAAAAGACCAGTAAGCTTCCGCTCAAGTCCGTTCCTGCCGTCGTTTTTTACGTGCTATTGCGCTTGGCTATTTTGCATAGTCAGGCATAGTCCACTGCGTGTGGGGATGTGAAATGGCGAATACTGCGGTCCCGTCACCATCACTTGTTCAATCGTACGATGCAGTTACAAAATCCAACGAAACATGGTTGGACAGCGCTGGCCTGCTTCTGTCCCACTTGCCAAGCCTCAGACTCAAGAGCCACCCCCGCCTCCGCCCAAACCCACCGAGAACGACGGAGCTATCCGTTTACCACATTGCAGTCAACCATAGAAAAACGAAAGAGAGAGCGAATGAGGTCTTTCGAAGGCAGTTCGATGACGGAACTGTTCCCCCCACCCCCACACCCCCCTCTGCCCAGATGCAAGGAAGCGCCGGATATACGGAGGTTTCCGGCAGTCGCAAAGACCAGGAATTGCAAACACACGAAACAAAAACAGAGGAAACAGTGTAAATTTCCATATTTTCAGCACCCGAAGGCAAGGAAACACCGCAAATACCGAGGATTCCGGACGTCGCAAAAGCGAAAAACTGCAGACGCACGAAACAACGAGGGCACCGATGCGAAAGGCGCTTCGAGTGCAGGAAACACTGCAAAAAACGAGGCAAACGGCATGTCGGTTTTGCGCCTTTGCGTTGTGTCGGCGCCAACAACAACAACGACGACGGGGTGCGAGACATAGTTAGGGCAGCATAACTGTTATCTACTATGACCATATTACGCTCTTGCAACTCGGACACTGCTAGACGAGGTGTGTTGGGTCCGATCCACACTACAGGAAGGGATATCAATGAGCATGTTAGGGACTACCATAAGGGAAATACTCCTCGCAACTGTTCCGACCCCCAAACTACCGCTCCAACACCCAAAACTCTAAACCCAATCTCTATGCGCTGAAAACACCCTTTTTTGAACCCAGACTCTGCCAATCAGCTGGGAAGCGGCTGAAAACACCCTAAAACCCTAACCTGGAAAGCTCAAAGCCGGAGAGCTTTGGAGCTCCGCGCAACCATCCTGGGCTTGGAGGATGTCCAAGACGAACTGGAGGTCCTGCGACGGGATTCGGGATTTTTTGGCGCTCACACTCGGACACTCCAGGTGAGGCATGTGGTTCCGGGTTTAGGGTTTAGGGGTGTACGGTTAAGGTTAAGACTCGCACATTCGCACTGGGCAGGCGCGGATTCATTTTTTTCCCACCCGGTCAGCTGACTAGGTCGCGGATTCATGGGTCGGACGGTTTAGGGGTTCAGGGTTTTGATCGAGGACGGTTCAGGGATCGAGACGCCTGAAAAGTACATGGAGGAAATAGCTTCAAGAGTCTTCCTCGGGCCCTTACGCCGTGAAGAGGGACCAACGATGGGAGCTCACTTCTTCTGGCCGGAACGTGCGAAGCTGATGTAACGCAGCGGTCAAGATCCATCAAATCGAAACACATCAACGCTGAGTCGTGACCCACCCCCCCGCCCTTGGACTCCCTTAGGTAGGCTCGAGGTTCTTTTGCTACCTTTTTTCCCGAGATCGCACTATGTTGCATCTGGGAGCAGACGGGAAACTAACGCATAGAAGCTTAAGTGTCGGCTCTGCAAGGAACGGGTCTGCATAAGGACTACCATCGACAACATCAACACAAATGGACCTACGTTGCAGTCTTGTTTTTAAGATAATATTAGTGTCACCTGTTTCTGACCCGCGGCCAATATCTTTCCACGAGCATAGTCGACTACTGGGGTACAAGACAAACCAGAGCCCGCTTCGTCCCTTCTGTCCGGCACCCCCGTGCCCGATGAGGTGGCCATGACTCCATGGAGGCCCGAGAAGCCGCAGCTTCGGAGTGTTGAAGTCTATCTTATACTTATAGAGTATCTAGAGGTGTTCAAGATTCAGTCTATAGTCTATCAGGGCTGGCAGGTGAAAGTGGCTTGCAAGGCTTTGTTGGCTTCAGGTTTGCTTCTTGTTCTACCTCTGTCTGCTAGGGTTCAGGGTTTCAGGTGTTCTGCTCTGCTTGCGGCAGCTACTGGCTGTTGGTTTGGGGGGTTGTCAAACTGTGCTGGGGAGTGCGGCTAGAGTCCGGGTCAACGAGGTCAACACTGTCTTGTGTTTCTCAGGCCTTCTTTGATGCTATACTGTCCACATTCTTTGTTCGAGCACCTCGTGATCTTGGCATGTCTGAAGTGCCACCCGAGAGGCACCAGCCGTGGAAACTTCAGCACATGTAGTATAACTGTGACCGCGAGGGCACCATGTGCACATCAAAGCTTTCAGGAACTGGCTGCTAGTTCAACCCCTACAGCCTTTTCAACTGGCTTGCAACCAAACCCTGAACCCTAACAACCCTACTGCCCCGAACCCCAAGCTCCATACCCTGGACCCTAGACCTAGTCTACACTCCCCTACACACCAGACCTGCCTAACACTACCCACTAAACCCCTCACCCCTTTCTTGCATCAGGAAGCCTCAACTCCTAAACCCCAAATCCCAACCCTTCTTTGCATCAGGAACCCTAACCCTAAACCCCTCAACCCTCAACCCTAACACTTTCAAGAGACCCTCAGAGCAGCGGCTGTCTGCGACAGCCTTGGATCCTCCACAGGCATGGCCAGTGAGCAGCAAGCTTGTCGGCCTTCAAGTGCTCTTGTTGCAAGTTTTGACTATTCAGATTAGTACTGTCATAGCCTTCTTTTTGGTGCTGTTAGTATTATACCTTCTGGTGGTCTTTTGAATCAGATTAACAAGGCTTCATTAGCGCTTCTTTTGAGTCTGATAAGCTTTCATACGGGCTTTATGGCGGCTTTAGTATTTAGTAGGGCTTGCAGGATTCAAGACCCTGACAGGCAACGCAGTGAATGCCTGGTTGACATGTATCAAAACACGAAGTATCCGTGTCAGTGTCCTCTTACGTTGTCTTGCGATGCTGGTAATTTTAGACCTCATGCATCAAAGGTAGTCTGTAGGTTTTGTTTGCATCATGGGAGCTCTCAGTCTGCAGAACCCGGGCCCGACAACCTGCAACTTTCTGTCCCCACCAAGGAAGACATCTTCCAACTCTGCGGAGGCTCGTAAACTCCCAGCGCGAAACCCTATGAGTCGTGACAGGAACGGCGTTTGCATGCGCAAAGGCCACTCGGAAACGGTTAGGCGCATTGCCAACGATGCCATCCCGGACATACTGCCAACCACTCGCATCCCCCGTGAAACCACGCTGAAGAAGAGTCGCATGGCGGAACATCCAGCGCGGCTTTAGGTCAGCATCCCAAAAGAAGCTACTTCAGCAGAGCGAAAAATCGAAAAGCCAAGTCTTCCGCATCCATGTGGAAGGAAACTGCTGACGACAGGACCTCAGCTCGATGAATGGTCGATCATAAACATATCCCGAAACCGGCAGGCGAGAGAGGGATGAAACGGCAAAAAAAAATTGACTGCAGATTTCACTGCTGATACATGGGACACGAGGGCCCGATCACAAGGTGGCCGAAATTCGCACCCTGCATTGTCGCACAGCTCGGGCAGAAACTGCAGCAACTCCTCGGAGGTATTTGTGTCAGGAGCACAGGAATAGTAAGCTCGCAGCAACCATTCCCCAACGCCTGGTCGGCGCGGGTACTTTGACAAGGGCAAATCGGCAAATCTCATCTGGGGCGGTGGTTGTTGGGTCGATTGGAAGCATGGAAAGGCTGCGGAGTGTGGGCTCAGAGTTTCGGTGTTGTCTTCCTCCAATTCCCGTACATCAGAGATTTGTTTTCACAGGCTCGGATATACTACGGGTTCAGGACTGAAGCTCTTGCTTACAACATCATGCCTCCCCGAAGCCCCAGCAGACTACCCCTTGACTAAGGAATATACCTTGGTTTTGCATCAGGACTTGTGCAATCGCCTGAAGGTTCGAGCAAAATCATAATAAGAAGAAGAAGAAGAATAGTACTAATAGTACCCCCGCCCTATAATTCAAGGTAAATTCTCGCTTACCCAACACCCTTCATGCAGCCTCGTCAGTGTCGGCTGGCCCTCGCCACAACGGGCCTTGCGCCTCTAGGCCTCGGAGTGCTTCATGCCAATCCCCGGCAACCAGAAAATGAGGAAAAGTCAAGATCTAAACTTGAAGAGCAACTCACATAAGTATTTTTTGATCGTATCTTGAACTATACTCTCATACGGGCCGAAGAAACAAGCACGAGTAATGAACACAGATCAAAACAACCAGGACCAGTCTTCACCCTCACACTCACACTGGAGAGGGTTGAGGAAACAAGGCATCAAATGGCAGGACGAGGACTTCATTGGCGTCCGCGGCAACCACAGCCATCATCGGCACCTTTCTCATCTGCATCGTCCTCAAGTAGTGCTCCTATGGAAGTCTAGAGAACTGGGTAGTGCTCCTGGTGCGTGTGATAATCTGCGACCTCCAGACAGGACTGAATGACATCAACAACTTTTGACTCATGTGTACAACATGTATAGTATATGCATGTACCACAAGCATCATGATGTTTATTGTCAGTACAGCTTGCAAAGGAATTGCTGTAGATTGGTGCCACGTCCTGTGATCGACTCAGGGCCCGGCTCATGGCAACATTCCTCGGATCCGGATTGTTGGTGGTTCGTTCTGGTTCGTCTTTCATGGCTTCGAATAAAATTGAAGCAGCTTGCATGGAACCATCCCGACCGTAAAGAGCAAACTTACGTCTTCGCTGACAACCATGGCACTTAGTCTCCCAGACGATTAGACTCTCGGGCTCGACAATCTGCAGCTGACCATGCGGCTTCAGCATCGCTTCTACAGGCAGTTTTGGGAGAGCTGGAACAAGTCTAGATTGATGAACCCATACACGGAAAGGACAGCATCCGACGAGGAGCTGTGGAGCTTGGGGCGCTTCGGGCTGTGGCGGCACCTGAGCAACTGATTCTGCATGGCGCTTTGGCTGCTCTGGGGTTCGGACAGTGCTTCCAGCTTCTATAAGGCTCATGAAGATTTTGTGATCGGCCGACTTTGATGGA